ATGTATGTATGTTTGGGTGTCCTTCCGTGCGGGTGCGTGTTTGTGTGAAGAAAGGCTTTTGCTTCTACTGTATAAGTCCACTTGCTCATGTGCTTGACAGCATTCTACACGCAAACCAGAATCCACTCTGACTCCAGTGATACTAAATGCGTATATACTATACAAATACCGACGACTGTTTGCAATCTGAAAGGCAAACGACCTCTCCCGTAACTGAGGACACGTCTTTGCTTTGAGCCATACCTGCTTGTGGACTCCTCCCCCTTGTACCATCCTGAGTGGAAGTGGGGTCAAGGTAATTAGATATCGAAGCAGCCACGCAGACAACTGAAACTGTTAAACTCAAATAAATGCATCATTCATTGTATATAGGTTGTCGATGATGCAAAGGAAGTACCGTGGCTGGTGTCAGCAATGCAACTGGCTAAGCTACAATTTACTAACGTGCGACAAACATGCCAGGCAAGTCTCTGTCTATGGAGCGAGAGAGAAGTGGATGTCCAGCCGGCAGTATCTCTGGCACTGGCAGCCAGTCTTTGTTGTGGTGTGAATAGGCTCCTCTGAAGTAGCAAGCCACGCACCACTCTCAAACCCGTAGTGTTAAATTCGTTGAGGCTCATAAGGAGGATGAGTACTGAGTATGAAGCTACAGCATGCTACAGCTGGAGATCAAAGGGAAACACATGGGGTCTATATCTGCAAACAACATTGCAACGTCTGTAGTTTCCGGGCAATCCCAGTTGCCTCTTTTTGTCGTCCCTGAGCTTGAGTCTCCATTCTTGCTTCTTGGGGGTTGCAGCAAGACCCAAAGGCTACAGGCATTGGAAGGGCTATCTATTGCTATCTAAACAACGGCACATGAGTTGCCCAAGTGGACTGGATTAGCCATGATAGCTGCATGCTGCATACCAGCAAAGAAAGCCCGAGAACTCCTACTCTTGCTTCGGGACACTGCTGACGCATGCTCTGAAGTGTGTGCAAACAATAATACCGTCAACCAGAATGCAATATTACAGTATAAACATGATATTGTAAAAAAAAGATGCAGATATATAACATGTATATAGCCAGAACAAGATCAATCCACCTTTTCTTGAATCGTGGCAAAGCCCTCTCCAATAGTGAGAAGGTTTGAACTCCTAATCCATGGATCGGGCGGGGATGATGTCCCTTTTGGATACTTCAGAACCCTTGCGACGCCTCAGCACTTCAACCTGGACTCCACAAAGGACTCGGGCGCTCATGTACTTCCTCGTTTGAAACCCATGACTCACCCACGGTAATGTATATATAATATATACACTTCGGCCCACTGAGGTTTTATCAAATTTCACGAGGTTTGGGATTCTTGGGGCCAAGTGCGATTTGCAATAATGTGTAGTTTTGAAGACGCTGGGTGAGGTTCAATTTGTTGGTGTAGCGCCAGCATTTCATTTGGAACCTTGCAACATGTTTGGCACAAAGAAAATTATGAGAACAAACAAAAGAAGGTCATCAATGTTGGCATGGTCTCTCTAGAATATGATTGTATGACTGATTACATAATGAAACACTATTAAACTGGTTGAAAAGAATCAAGCAAGAAAGACTTTGGACCTTAAAGTCACATCAGCTGTGCGGCCCAACTATTAAAACCAATCTGACAAAAAGGAAACCCATGTTTGAACGCGGGTGAACGAGAATCCGGTAGACATAGGAGACAACATTGCAAAAAAAAAGAAACCATGTCAGCAACGTTGGACATATACAAGCAAAACCAGTGGGAACCAAGCTGTGAAGACAGCTTGGGGCAATAGGCAAAAGCAGTGGGAGCAAACCACAAGGTTGGATGAGTAGGCGGAAACAAATACTGTAGTCGAAAGTAACACCAAAAACCAAGGTTTCAGTCGGGATTGCAAAAGTTTCGGTCAATCGAGACTGCAAACTGAAACAGCCAGGAAACAGTCGGGAAACAGTCGGAAACAGTCGGGAAGCAGTCGGAACACAGTCGCAAATGTGTGGAACACCTGGGAACCAGTGGGAATCACTCGCAAAAAATGATGAACAATCCAAGTGGCACTTTCCAAACAATTTTTGCCGAAAAATTATGTGATTTTAGACTCTAAATCCCTGATTCCGAAGTCAACAACTCTTAAAATCACACTTTTTTTTGCCGAGAGATTTCACATCATCCCTTGCTTCCAACTGTTTCCAACTGCTTCATCTTGTTTTTTTGTGTTTTCTGCATTCTTTGCTAAACGGTGTGATTTTTTGTTTTTTGGGTGCAAAATTGTTTGGAAAGTGCCATTTGGATTGTTCATCATTTTTTGCGAGTGATTCCCACTGGTTCCCAGGTGTTCCACACATTTGCGACTGTGTTCCGACTGCTTCCCGACTGTTTCCGACTGTTTCCTGGCTGTTTCAGTTTGCAGCCTCGATTGACCGAAACTTTTGCAATCCCGACTGAAACCTTGGTTTTTGGTGTTACTTTCGACTACAGTATTTGTTTCCGCCTACTCATCCAACCTTGTGGTTTGCTCCCACTGCTTTTGCCTATTGCCCCAAGCTGTCTTCACAGCTTGGTTCCCACTGGTTTTGCTTGTATATGTCCAACGTTGCTGACATGGTTTCTTTTTTTTGCAATGTTGTCTCCTGTCTACAGGATTCTCGTTCACCCGCGTTCAAACATGGATTTCCTTTATGTCAGATTGGTTTTAATAGTTGGGCCGCACAGCTGATGTGACTTTAAGGTCCAAAGTCTTTCTTGCTTGATTCTTTTCAACCAGTTTAATAGTGTTTCATTATGTAATCAGTCATACAATCATATTCTAGAGAGACCATGCCAACATTGATGACCTTCTTTTGTTTGTTCTCATAATTTTCTTTGTGCCAAACATGTTGCAAGGTTCCAAATGAAATGCTGGCGCTACACCAACAAATTGAACCTCACCCAGCGTCTTCAAAACTACACATTATTGCAAATCGCACTTGGCCCCAAGAATCCCAAACCTCGTGAAATTTGACATGAGGTTTGGACAGGAAAGTGTTGCTGCGGCTTCAAAACAGGAAAAACACAAAGTCTTGAGAATGAAAACATACAAGAACCCAAAGTCCTTTTGTCTCGTGCTCGTTGATGTGCATATTGTTTAAGCCTCAAATTCACCGTGCACAAGTAATGTGGTAGATTCACACAGAAACTGTCCAATCGTACTAGAAAAAGCTCTTCATGCAACCCACGTATGACACATGGGAGCTCATTCAACGAAGGCTTCGGAAAATTTAACCAATCAACGGTCAAATTTAACAAAACACACAAATATTATGTAGATGTACTGAAACATACAAGTATGATCTGGGACTGCAATGCTTCAAACCAAAAACACAAAAACACGGCTGCCCTTAATGCGTCTACTCATCCCTTCCACTTCAATTCCTCAAGATAGTCTTGGGCAAAGAGACGCATGACCAACTGAAAATTGGAAGCTGCTTCCTGGCACCACGTTGGCAAGAACTGAGGGGTTCACGCAGCACTTCCAGTTTATGGTGCTTTCCCTTCAGCACAAGAAGTTACTGGTAGCTGTTGCGTGGCTATATGCTTCGCCTTGCCACCAATCTGTCAAACCATTCCTTCCACACCTTAAATAGAGAACGTCTTACTATTGTACCGTTCCCATTCGTTGGACGCACTCACTCCATCCACTCCATCTCACTCCCATCACCGGCACATTCCGAACTATCAAACATCAGACAAGACACGTGCATGCAACAGAGTCCATTTAATAGAGGTACATTGAGACCCATCCCTCATGAGGGACGCCCAGAATGCGTGACAAAGACAATCATGTTTTCACCGCCTACTTCCTATAGACTTGAACAAGAGAAGGTCATTTTCCTGTCCTGCGCCAGTCCAAAGAACAAGAGCCCTCAATAATCAAGAAAAGCACAAACATAAACTATCCTTGGACACTAAAAGAGTCAAACTCCAATCCAGAGGCCGTGAGGAGGCGAAGCATCGTGAAGCAAGAACCAACAGGAAAGAGCCCAAGCTGCCAGTCCTTGGCCATCTCTATGGCAGGCAGCGTTTGCGACCTGCAACAAAAACGTGTTATGACCTGGACTTTGACCCTATGATGAACGGGTTTTGAAGAAGTGCTGTCCACAATTTCTGGGGAGCAGCCTGCAAGGAGAGACTCACACATGAATCAAGAATGCCTCTGACCTCTGAGAAATGTCCAACGTGTACATCAAAGCTCCGGTACCCTCCAGTCCACAACGGCGACAAGAAGGCGTGGCCAACACCAAACACTGTATCCTAAATTTTGGGACTGTGCTTCTACTGCATCAAGAACTTTGCTTAGGACCAACTCTCCTCTTCGCCCAGTTCTTTCGCCTATGCACTCGTCGCTGAGAATCCTCGACCCTTTGCAGGGAGAAGCGCTTGGGCGCTTGCTCGATAGGGTCGGTGAGTTCCATGGCATGTTCGGCCAAGTGAAGCTCCATTGGTGGCGGCGCCCCAGAAAGCTGAGGGAAGCTGTGTTTTCCAAATATTTCCAATGGGCTGCGAGAAGGACACAATGCGAGACCTCCAACTAGATTTCAGTTTGTTCAAACTATCTGAAGCTGAGCTTCTTGTTCCTTAACAATACTGAACAAATGTTTCTCCAAACCATGACAAAGCGGATAAATGGCCATGCTACAGAGTTTGCTGTCCAGAACTTGTCTATGAGCCAGCTTATGTCACTGAAATGCAATATACAGTACAAACAATATACAAAAAACAAGTAACTCCAATGCAGAAGCGACAAAGCTCTGCAACTCGTGCTGCAAATTGCTCTGACACATTCAAGCTAGAAATCTATTCCAAGAAAAGAAACCACTCTAGCACCCATCTACGAATGCCCCTGACATTCCTGTACCTAACAAGAACTCATGTACCTGTGTATATATGATTAATTACATCATATAGTATTGTATGACTGCATCTGCCACTCTCAAACTCTGAACAGCTTCCGTGGCCGTGCCTCTTTCTGCAAAGGCCCGTGGCTTCCTGCAGAGCACACTGCAGATCTTCCACGGTCTCTCTAGCTTGCCATATTGAAATCCTGGACCGTGCGGATCCTGAGTCATTGCTTGGTTTCCCTAAACGGCCGATGTGGTAGAGTTGAGTTCACGAGGAACCGTCAAACAACACCAGGAAAATTGCAAACATTGCAAAAGCTTGCATCTCCCCACTTCTGTCGGTGTGACCCAATTGTCAGAAAAAGTTGCAACCGCATTTAAGCAGAGGCAAAAGGGAAGCATGATGTGGTCTCACTGTTTTGGGAACACTTACGCATTCGTGCTTTTCGTTCTGCTCCGGACCACTCCTGCACGTTCCTGAAGAGGCTTTGAAAGGCATTACCCTCCCAAATCGGAAGATCTCCTGGCTGGGACGCTCTCGACCGAAGCTTCATCACAAGATTCAGCGCTGAAGGGAAAGTGAAGCCACTTTAGCCACCAAGTGCATCAAGCCGGACAAATGACGTCAATGGTGCCGATGCTCCGCATTTGACCAGGAATCCCCGAACCAACGGAATTCTCGACACCAGGAATCCTCGAAGAAGATCGTTTTTTAAAAGACAGCCTTTGTTGTCCACAAACCTGGGAGACACAGCTTTCTCAGGCTAAAAGTGCGTGTTTTGCAGAGACTATTAAGTAGTTTACGCATATATATATATATATACAATCCTGCGCATGTCACATCATTGTGTGAGCTAACAGTACTCTTTCACCAACAAGGTTGGTCCTTGCATGGTGACCCTCAACTTGCTACATACTTCGATTATCACGCCAAACTCAGATGGGCTGTTGGCTTTTTCGCCAAATGTAAAGAGGCTTGGTCGCTTTCCCAGGTGTTTGTCTGCCTCACTGGCCAAAGCGGCCGTACTATGCCCGCTGTGTTCGATCCTTGGGGCTCAGGTCTTCATGGGAAATGAGGGCTTGCTACATCTCGCAAGAATCGTTGGCTGCGGTGTTGGCAAAACGCTGTCGTCTTGGCAGGTTCCGCTGCTCTAGGTTGCTTTCGGTTTCACTTTGGGTCTTTCTTTGGGGCATTGATGTGCTCGGGTCAGTGCGCCCGGTACAACACCGGATGCGTCTCACGCGTGATGAACCCGGTGCGCTTGGTGATATATACACATATATTGTAATCAGTGGGCAAAGAGGGAAGCAACTATTCGTCATTGGGTTGATAGACGAAGGTGAAACTATTCATCCTTATTACTCATCTTTCCATAATTACTTGACTCAAGGGCTTAAAAGTTTGAAGCCATGTAACTATATAGGATCAAACCAAGAAAGTTCAATCTGAATCAAAAGAATGGTATTGAAAAGCAAGCGCAGAGCTTGTGTACGGAGGTGATTCTTCAAGTGGCCTTCCATGTCTTTGCCTTTGCACCAAGCAAAACAAATGGCCAAGGAGCGGATACTCAAGCGCTAACAAGAAGACCATGAAAGTTCCAGCAGCCCAAAGATCTACCTGTCCAGGCGAAATGAAGAGCTTGATTCATGTAATTGTGGGTACAGAGTCTAAATTCTATCTGTCCTCTCTAGGACAGTGACAGTTGTCTGCGTTCACAATACAAGTGGAACACAGCCTACCCCCTTCAGGCACTTGACTGGCTTCCTGTGGACTGCCCTTTGCACTGTCACATATCGTCACAAAACCCTACCAAACCAATGAAAAAGAACAAAGAAACCTAGTAGCTTCTGGTTCCTAGTAGTAAGGCCAGGAGCCCCTAGTAGCGTCCTTGCTCCTAGTAGCGATGCCCTTTGCTGTCCCCCACTAGTAACTAGTTTCTTGTTCCTACAGCAAAACACTGTTTTGCACTCCAAAGATCCCGAGGGTGAACAGTGCACAACTTCACACATGCAAGTCAAATGCGCATGTCCAACAAGGATCTGTGAAGGTAAACTACAAAAGTGAGATGTGTTGATCATGACAGGCCTGGATGATATGGGAGCTCCTTTCTACCACGGGTCTACCACTTTGGCCTTGCTATCATAGCCAGCAGAGCGAGGCAACATGTGCATCTCTGGCGCCTTGGTGGAACAATCAAGTTGGCACTCAAAAGAAGCGAGTTATAAGTTACTATAACATGTTATAACTTAGAACCCACCCTGGCATGAACCTTGTGGAAAAAATGCATTACAAACAAGACGGAGTTGTGGCGTGATAGTGGTTCTAAGTCGACTGTTCTGCTCGACAGCAACTTGTTGATTCTGCAAACACATCACAAGACATGGTTTGTACATGTTTGTAATGGTACAAACCCGTGTCCGAAATCTATGATTCTCTCCCAACTGGCCATGAAACTCGCTTTCATTCTCAAAAATCAAAACAAACAAGGCCCTTCTCAAAGAGGGAATAGCTCGTACAGTATCCGAAGTGCCGCATCGGTGCATGCTTTTTTGGGGCCTCCAGCCATGAAGGCTGGCGTCCCCAGCTTTTCAGTGAGCAACTTCCCTGGCTGAAAGCGCACCGCCTGAGTCTTGTCTGGGTTTTCAATCGAATGTGAACACGTATGATGGATTTGAACACACGCAAAAACAAACAGTTGAAAAGAATATCCAAAACAGTATTGAACGGATTCATGTTTTCGAAAGAGTCTTGGGTCTTCAGCAACGAGGACTCCAAAATCCTAACAGACTTGAAAACTTTTGGGCCAGTGATACGCAAAGGCTTTGTGTTGTCAGCAAGACTACTTGTGGTCAGCTTGATGTTTCCACAGCACCCCCAATTACCTTGCACGATCTGTCCAGGCACAAAGAATGGTCCACTTGACAAATTGCCAGTGCGATGGGATGCCCACATAGCCTCTTTTGTCTTTGGATAGCCCATATAATCACATAAGTTCTGTTGTGGCGAGTGCAAAATGTACAAATTTGAGTCTTGACAAAGTTTCACTGCAACGTGAGCTTTCAACTGCATCTCAGTCAAGGGCGATCCCGAAATCTCCAAGTCGAAGACGTGCATGTGGTTTCTGCACATGACCTGGTTGAACAACAGAAATCATTGAATTGGTTTCATGCATGTTTCTGCAGCTTCTGCTCGCTTTACAACATCAGAATGGCGCAAGGGCACATGCAAAGGACATTTAAAGAGAAAACATCGATCCTGCTCGACTAGCCTGTTCTGTTTCAGTGGTATGTATATATATATAAAAATATGTTTCTTTTTTGGATACAAAGAAACCACATCAGCACAACAACTTCACTTCAGAAGTTGTGGCTTTCAATAGTGTTGGCCACGTATAATGTGTCCGAATGACGGGACACATTGACGACAAATTGGATGCATTGAATCGAATGGAGATAGTGCAAGGCCTTCCTTCTGATATTGTGGGCCACCTGATTTTCGGCGTCGAGGATCTGAGGGTCCCAGACCCAAAAGCATGGCATTCTGCGGTTTGATGTCTCGGTGGCAAATCTGCTTGGAGTGCAGGAAGGAAATTCCCGACCTTGGCGCTTGGTGTGCGCTTGGTGTGCTTGCAAACTGCTGCAAAAAACGACCTGAAACTTGTCAAGTTTGGACTTGTGCTCACACTGCACAACGAGTTTGAACAGCCTAGGTCTCATTCATGGGTTTGTTGTGCAAAACCATGTCGGTCAATAGACTTGGGTACAAGCACTTTCAGAAGCATACGCCCGCTTTGTTTCCTAGACTGTGTATTTCTGGGGCCACAGGTCAAAACAAAAGCTACAGCACCCAATGGCTGGGATCAATATGGATCCCTGGATCAGCACAGCATTTCAACAGCAAAACAAATTATCCAAAAGCTCCCCACTTCAAACCTGTGCTCCTGAATGAACCTCACCGTAGGGCCAAGCAAACAAAAACATGTCTTGTTCACGCCGTCCATTCTCCCAAAATCGGCTGAGAAAAGAGAAAGCAAGTCTTCCACCTCTTGTTTCTATCTTGTTTCTATTCCCCCAAAAAACAAAACCGTCCCGGACACCCCGTCGTGTCGGTCCCGTGTCGGTCCCATTTCGGTCACCGAAGACACGGTGAAACATCCGCCCACGCGACCGGGCGGAGCGAGGAGCGACGTCTCCTGGGCCCGGACAAGAGTTGCTTCATGAGATCCGAGGCTCGGAGCTCGGAGAAGCCGCCCTCCAAGGCTCGGGCAGCATCCTGGAGAAGCCACCCGTGGCTTGCCACGCTGACATGAAGGAACCAAAAAAGAAGAAAAGGATGGAAAAGGGACATGAAACATCATGAACATTCATGAACCCCCTATGTGGACATGAAGCATCCTATACTCTTATGCATGGTGGAGATTCTGTGTCTTGCTACGGCGTCGATGTCGCCATGATCCAGCATCTTGCGCCGATTTTGAACATGGATGGCCATATGGGATGGTAAACCCACTTGCCTTCGAACTGAGCATTGGAATGCCTTTGCTGCTGGCTTTTGAAAGGAAATGGCACAATTTTTCCTGACATACATGCCAGTTCTTCATCTACTGATCCAAGAAGCTTCAACGGGTTCAGTATGAAACTAAGAGCTGCTGCAAAGCTTGTTCCAGGTGCTGGATGGTTTCTGTGTAAATCAAACTAAATGGTTCATAGTGGTTGTTTGTAGGCTTTTCCTCTTGGGGCAGGTCGTTTCCAACTGTTAGTGATCAAGCCCAACAGAGGCCAATTCACGACTTGCTCGCACTCTGCATCAAACTGTGCAGCAAGAAGTGTGACGTAGGCCCACCAAAAAAAACACTGGAAAAAACGATGGAAGAAAGAAAGTGAGAAAGAAATAAAAGACAGGAATGGAAAGAGGGGGTCTCATGAAAGGACACATAGACAAGAGGGCAAATAAGTTCAAGAAGGTCCTCCAAATTTCCGCCGTCACAGTACTCAAGTACCAGGTGGAATGAAGAGCTGGTGTCCTGTGAAGCTGCTTTATGATATAAACACCACGGACAAATGAACTGTCTCATGCAAAGCACTCCTCAAATGATCTTTGCTCTGATGACGCTTTCATGAGCACCAGCAGTATTATCAAGCTCACATTGAGTAGCGAAGAATTGGTATGCTTACCGCACCACGGCTTTAGTGGTGTAGGTTTGGTGCGTATTCATCATGGATCGTCAAGACTGAAAAGAAATTGGTGCCATAACTGTAGAGCTATCTGGCAGCAGCTGCCAAACCCCCCAAAAAAGTGCACTCCAGGAAGTCATAGAGCTGGACGAACCACTGTTGACCCTTGCAATCGCCTCGGCAGTTGCCGTAGCATTCGACGAACTCTGGTTCAAACAAGGCAACGTCTGAGGCAGGCGTCAGGCCAAGCTCTTGTCTTAGGACAATGTTCACTCAGCAGTGCCTTTACACCTGCAGAACACAACACCGGTCCATGTCATGTTCTGCAACCTGAGAACATCTCCAGATCTCGTTCTCGAAATCATCTGCCAAGCAGCCCATGAACTCAACTTCTGACATCACCAGACTGTCAGGAACCTGTCAGGAGCAGGCACCAACCCGACAAGTGCCTAAAGCGATACCTGCTTTCCTCTGAAACTGCCTCAGTCACTTGAACACCAATGCTAGTGCCTGTTGGTAGAATGCTGTAGCCCCTTTTTCTCAGCATGTGCGTGTCTGGGCAAATGGATTTAGTGGACCTCTCCACTCAAAAACACCTCCACACCAAACATGTTCCTTCAACAAATCTGACCACGCTACACAGTAAAGTACGCGCGTATGATTGAACTTGAAGTGTTTACATTGTTGCCTAGCTCAGCGTTACGTTTGGCAAAGGACCATCTGACCATCTGTAAAAAACATCAAAAGCAAAGGAACCCAAAGAAGCAGCGAGCAAAATAGCTGAAGTTTCCAATGATTTAACAACCTGATCATAATGACCTCCAGAAGCTGATTAATATAAGTCCTCAAAAAGTCTTTGCACTGCCTTCAACTGCTTCATCTTTTGCTTGTCCAGTGTCTTGACTGCCACAGCCTGATTCAACTATGTAATTTGTGACTTGGAGATGGTGACGCTCTCAATTGAATGACATTCTGCCCTCTGAATGGCACGTAGCAAACACTACGGGAAGCAAAACTGCTGTAGGCAAAAAGTTGTTGGTGTCATAATATCATACTCTAAAGCGAACAAATCGAGTCGACATGAGGTCGGGCTCTAAAGCGAATCACTCACGTTCCATACTTTGCGGTAACATCCAAAAACAGATCTGGCAGGAAGAGCCAACACACTCTCTGGGACGTGGACTTTTCCGCCTGAAAAGACACGTTGCAAAAAGTCGGGCGTGAGAACTGGAAGGAGACATCATATCGTATGACTGGAGGCAAATCAAGCAATGCAAGCCATACGACACTCAAATTAGAGGACCGTAAAGGACCTAAATCACAAGGCTTGAGATTTCCAATGTCCGAACAGAACTCGTCCGTTAAGTTGAACTTGGTTTCAAGTTGTAGTTGTTAACGCTCACTACATTCCTGGCAATTCCAACCCCTGGACAGGCCTGTTGCTGTCTGAACCAAGCAAAGAACCCTATTTTTTCTCACCGAGCCTTCAAGGAATTTTCCTTTCCAAACGGTGCCAAACGCCCTGGGCCAGCAGTAAAATTGGCCAACAAAGTGTGGGAGTCTGTTGGAGAGGAGCAATATGTTTGGGCTTCTTGTTCCTAATGGCTTCTTGCTCCTAGTAAGGCCAGGAGCCCTACTACCGTCCTTGTTCCTAGTAGCGATGCCAGGAGCCCCTAGTAGCGTCCTTGCTCCACATGATATTTTGTGATGATGAATCAACATGTGAGATTCCTCTCAAGCTCGAGCGGTTCTGCTTTTTTCACCAGAAGCATGAGCATGGTAATGAGAGCTCGATGCACAAGATGTCTGCTGCGGACAGCACCTACGATTGCACTTTCAGTGTGGTGTGGACAAAATGGCTACGGTATGGTTAGGTAAAACAACTCAAACACGGCAACCTCATGCTAAACCAAACAACTTCAAAGCATGTTCCACCATTTAGACAAGCTGCCCATGGCCCAAGGGTTTTCCTTTCTTGAGCTCCACGATGTCTTCCAGCCTCAGTAAGACCGTTTCATGATGAAATGATGAAATACGTTGAAGCAGTGATTCGCGAACAACCCCCCAGTCCGAAACAGTAATCCAACGTATTCTCCGTGTGGCTATAGATTGCTCTCCTCAATGAACAGCAGGCACGAAAAGGCTAGCGGCTAGCTTCGCCAACCAAACTGCAGTATGCTCCGTGAATGTCACACTGAAGTAGGAACATCGATCAGCTAGATCTGGATGAAAACCGCTGGAACTCTGACAAACAGAAGACATCAGCAAACATGTGTGTATATATAACGATATATATATATATATATGTTGTTTGCGGGACGTCAACATCAAGGCCTTTCAATCAGACTTGATTTCTGCTTCAAAAGAGAAAGAACCTTCAACCACGTCCTAAGCCCCCTACTTCCGGCCGACCACCACAGAGACAATGTCTCCTAGCATCGAAGACTGTTGAGGCCTCAAAGAAGCACTGCAAACTGACGAAGACTTTGGCAGCCAATAGGTTTGGAGTTTTCAAAAAGAACGCTAGGGTTCTGCACAGCAAAATGTGAAACCTTAAATGATTCACCAACCACATCCAACCACTCTACCCAATAGCAATTTCTAAACATACACAACATAATCACCCCAGGTCTGAAAAAGAAAGCCACGTCGCAAAAGTCCCTGCCGCAGTAGCACCAAGTTGAGAGCAGAATAGCACAAGGATTCCATCAAAGCAAAAACATCAAAGCGTATCAGCGTATCCCAAGAAGACTGCAGGCTACATGGTCACCAAATCTCCCACATAAGCCGCAACAAACCAATCAAACAAGTACGTACCCCCCTCAAGAGCTCCCAAGCAGCTTGTCGAATGGTAAAGCAACAGTATGTTCAACTTGTTCTTCATAGTTCCCCAGCAAATCCACCCTTCAAGAGCTGGTCGAAACACAGAAAGGAAATTCGGCTGTTGAAAACAACCTGTCATGATCTCTCTCGGGAGTTCGTGCTGAAGGGACGCAGGTGCACTTTGACTAAGTATATGATTCTTCAGCGTCGAAGAGAAACACAGAACAGCAAGCAGAACGTATATGTTTGAGACATTGTAGGTCTTTCTTGGATTCACTTGCGTACTCCGTGCCACTGTTTATAGAATAAATATACATCCAAGCAAGAACGCCGGACACGCCGGACACGGTTGCACACCTCGGCCGCCCTCCGAGGTTCGCGCGGGACGCCGTCGGTGCGTGGCGCATGTTGCACCTTCTTCGACCCCACGGCAGGTGGAGCTGTCACCGCACCGACCTGTGGCACTGTGGTGTCTGGAAGCTACAGTAGTAGCAGGGGCATCGCTACTCGGAGCAAGGACGCTACTAGCAGCTTCTTGCTCCTAGTAGTGATGCCCTTTGTTACTAGTCGCGTCCTTGTTCCTATCGTTTCCAAGGATATGACATTCAAAACGAGATGATCACACATGCCCGGTTGGACAGTGAACATGTTCCTGTGGATGTATCTTCCATTGTTGCGATCGCTGGTTTCCAAGTAAGTAAAGTGATCCCTTTCACATAACATATCTATATCCTCTAAACATTGCCATGTGTTGTCATCCCTGTCCAACAACCCAACAACTCGACAGGTTTTAGCCCAGCTATTGGGTCCAAGCATCCTACAGCATGTCAGGCACAAAGATACACAAGTCTGTATGAGACAGCTGATCGTGGCCTGCTCTGCCTGAGAGACAGCGGTTTGGCCCATGGCCTGACAAAAAAAAACTCACAACATGCAAACCAATTTCAACTGTCACTACTCGCATAGCTGTAGGACAGGGATTTTGGCAAAGGCATGCCGAAGGCTCGCTGCTTGTGTTTGTTGTTAGTTTGCGCAGCCAGCTCAGTTTGTTTCTCCGTGTGCATCACAGGTCTGCAGCTGTTTGTTATTGCTTATCAGCTCTTTGCTTATTTTTTTTGCAAAATCATCGAAGTTACTGATCACTGTGCCAGGACAGCCATTGACAGGCAGTGCCCCCCCCCCCACACACACACACACCGTCATCTCTCCCAAACATGTTCACCAAACTCATTCAACTTACAAGCTGCCTACGACAGAAGTTCCATCGACACAAGTCAATTGAAGCAAATACCTGGATTTCTGACGGAAAGCACCTGTTCTTGCAGACCAACCTGGTTGGCGATTCAAATTCACGAGGTGAAAAAATGCAGCTATGGATTCTGCTGTTGAGTTCTATGAAGTTGCTCGAAACATTTCACCTGTTGGCACATATCATAAGGTGATTGTTCAACATCAAACACCTGATGGCGGTCTCATTTGGGTTGGCTCTAAGGAATGACATATTTGTGCAAACGCCCTTTAATCAAATGGCTCATCACGCTTTGAGCACCTACAGCTTCCAAAGAGGCGCTTGGTTTGCCAAACGATGTTCACAAGCATCCTGAACTTCACAAGTGAGTGACTACTCACTGAAGCTGGCTCACTGCACGATAGCAATGCAATCCCATAAGCTTGCTCTGTGATGCCTGTAAAGATGCAAAAGAGCCCATTGAGAATCAAACTGCAGTTCTTTATGGATTGAATCTTTACAAATTGATTGAACAACTTCCCAGCAATAAAGCATCACAATACAATTTGCAGTAAGACAACCGGGGCCAGCAAGTACTGATCGATAGTTTTTCCCGCAGATTCCGCTGTCTGGCAAACATTGTGAAACAACATTACTGTAGTACTGCATCATAAAGATATTTCTGTAGAGTGTTTTGTCAGGATTACTGTAGAATTGCCCAAGGGTCATTTGCGCGAAAAGCTGCAACTATGCAAAGCCCAACATCATTCTGCTGGTCTGAAGAGACGCAGTACCTCGAGCTTCCGCATGCTCCAAACATGATTGCCCTGCAAACAAATAGGAATCATTGTGCATCCCCGAGACATAAAGCCCAGGTCATTCTATGCCGATATGCACGCGATGGAAAAAAACGCATATGTTATCCCACAACACACTTTGCATTTTGACTAGCAAACAAATTATCACCCATGGTTTGTACAAGTAAGGTCCTATGTCAAAGCATACCCGTATGACCTTCAGTCAAGACCTCCACTTCATCTTGTATCTTCATGACCACCCCTACCATGAGCTTCCCTGTACCATAAAGCTTGTCAGCAAATAGAACTGCTGGTGTTGCGAATAATTCCTTGTAAATCGTAAACGGATGTTAAAAATCAACGGTGTTTATGTGCTACAACCAGTAGCCTTAGCTTGGATCGAACATGGCCTTTTTGCAGGAACGACTGAAATGAACGCGCCATCAAGGTTTTTTCGTGCAAACACAGCAGGCTATCACCGCGACAAGAATTGCTTTGTTTGAAATCTGAGACTGTACTCTTCAAATTAAAATAACAAAGCAATTCTGGTTGGTGATGCGAAGCTCCAGGCACATCAGAAATGCCTAGAAGTTCACCTTCCTTCAGCCCTTCAAAATCAACACCATCAAGCTCGTCCTTTCCCTTCCAGTGGTCCAGGCCGCCTTTAGGCCTTTTTGCTGAGCTTTGTTCGCAGCGCCCTGTTCGAGCCGAGCATGAGCGTCGTCGGGCATGTGATCGTCATGTCCCGAAAGTCCCTTGGTGCCTTGCCTAAAGGTCTTCTAGAGAAATGCAAGCGGGTGCACCAGTAATTCGACCAAAGGGTTCTCTAGGCCCATGGATTCAAAAAGCAGTCACTATTCTGCGAAAATATGCTTTCAGATTGGAAGCAGGACATACAGCGCAGGTGGCTGTGCTGGTGTGAAAGTGACCTGACACCGCCATGGGATGCCGGAGATGCCAAAGGCCAAAACTCTTGAGAGTGAGGCCTGGCAGTGAAAACACTAAACTCCCTCTGGCGTGGCATACGGAGTTGCTGGATGATGGTCACACGGACAGAACGGTTTCAGATTCCAATGAGTTGATGACAACCAGCAAAGGTAGGCAGCATGAAAGACCGTCAGCTGAGAACAGCAAAACTATTGCAGAAACGGACTGATGCACAGTAACCACAGGGCACTTGTCCGCAGACTCTGGCTCTTTGCCTTTTCATTTATGTCAGTGGTGCTCGTGGACCAAGACAAATTGTCGCCGGATCTCAAACTTGTGCGCATATCCGTTTGGGTCGTGCTTGTGTCCCCAGTGGACGAGCTGCCATTGTGAGTGGTGCTCACGACCCCGCTGGTCAAACTCTCACTGGTTGTCGTAGTGATCAAGCCCCCACCAGTCGAGCTCTCACTGGTTGCGGTAGTGCTGGTCGAGCTCTCACTGGATGTGGAAGTGCTGGTCGAGATCTCACTGGATGTGGAAGTGCTGGTCGAGATCTCATTGGTCGTGGTGGTGCTGGTGACGTTGGGTATCTGACCTGCCCTCAAAGCAGCCACTTGCTCCGCAGTGATGTCATCCCCAGAATTCAGGATGGGGAAGCTCAACGAAGCCTCCAAGAACAGACGGATTTCTCACCAAACTGTGGGGTGAGGGTCGGATCGGTCGATCAGTCACCGGAGGTATAGCGAAAGAAAATGAAACAAACAAAGCCGACCATACCGGATCGGTCGCCACTAACAAGCTTGCAAATCTGTTTGCTGGACTTCAATGTCTGCCCAACAACCGCATTATCTACGTTACCCGCATGCTCCTACCCAGCCCTGGCATGGTGAACAAACCAACCCAACCTTACCGGATCGGTCGCCAGGATCGGTAACCAGAGAGGTCGAGCTAAGGAAAAAAAAAGCAACCATACCGGATCATACAACGTCACAATCCCTGAGTCGCTGATCTTGCTGATCCGGAAAACATGATCGCAAATCCATGGTTGCTGATCTCGCTCCGACAGTCGCTGATCCTATAGTTCTTGGTCGCTGATCCGGGAAAATTGGTCCCTGATCCAGTAGTCGCTGATCCTGAGTGGTCGCTGATCCTGAGTGGTCGCTGATCCTGGTCGCTGATCCGGACCCTCAGTCGCTGATCCGACATTTATTCCAAACTGTGTACACGCCCGGTGTGACTGCCTGCTATCGCCAACAAATGTCAATAGGTATCAAAAATACCTCCCTCTGTCTGCTACAAGTTCTACTAGTTTATATACCTACCCCACCAGCCCACCACACATACTATCTCTCAGGTTAAGTCTGCTCATGGCCACTACTGGGTCACTAACCAATAAACTGAACGCTTTTGCGCAAGTTTCACGAAGAAGGTGGGCCTCTGCGACTTGTCGGCATTCTGATTGAGTTGCTCCACTTCTTGGCTTGAGGTTGGCTTCCCAGGCATCATCACCTTTGTGTCCCTGATGAGCCCACGCAAAGTCACACACCACAATGGGGGCATCTCCAGTCGAATCAAATCCACAGCCAAGCATGGTGTGGTTGTGCCACAAAAGGAGCACCATGTGGCCTTACTTGGATTGGCCTCAACTACACACATCTCAACAGGGGCCTTCTCCTGTTGAGTAACCTAGAAAGTGGGCATCATTGAAAAATGTTCACGCGATCTCAACCAAGCTGCCAGAATTGTAAGAGCCGCCAGCATTTTGAACCGCATTGATACTGAAGTTGTGGACGCCTATCTCGGCATACCATGCTTTGGCACCGCGTACGCAGGTGTCTGTGCCCCAAGTAATCACTTCAGTGTAGTGAGGAAAGAAGCTGCCACCTGCAATTCTGTTGGACTCAAATTTGCAGTTCTGGAACATAGGAAGACTTGGTGAAAAGCAACATAGGACATCATAGGACATAGTTTAAGGAGGTTGAGAAAAAGCCAATAGCCGTCTGTGGTACAGCAGTCTGTGTTACAAAAGGGCCGCATCCGAAACAAACCAAAAGCTGATCCAAGATTATCCAAGTCCAGCCAGGCTTCCCCAGTTGGAATGAATGCTGCCCTTGTCCTTCTTGCTGGCCCACTCCTGTGCGCTGGCTGCAATCCCTGCGTGATAGATCAAGGGAGGTGCTCCATGTAGACAGCGGTAGTAGTTGATGTTTAACATGCAGCACTCCGCAGCTGTGTGGCCAGCACAAGACCTTGCCCGCATTGATTTTATTCGGCTTGAAGCTTGGAACATATTTGCAAACAAATGTCAAGAAAAAAGAAGTGGGATCTGATAGGTTGCTCATGAAAACTCATGAAGTATCTTCAGGTCTGTGGCGAAAGACCTAACCCGAATAGGTCTTTAGGAATTTCAGCAGGGTTGACCAAGACACGGAGGCTCCAGAATTTCCCACGGCTGCTGCAGGAAGCTCGGCTCGTAGCCATACTTCGCCAGAAAGGTCGGCTGATCGAAAGTGACCATCTGGTAGCTCCCATAGCCTTAAGCAAGTGCATACAATTCTTTTCAACAAGTCAATGTCCAATTAGCCCAGCTCATTCAACCTGTTTGCAACAAAAGTTCAATTCTAATGTTTCCAAATGACACTGGCCCAGTTGGTGACAGGCTGTGCCTCCCATGTCTTGAGAACAATCACTATTCCAGCGCCTGGTGCAAGCGTAGGTGCTGTTGATACTCTCTAGCGTGTAGAAGGACTGGCTATTCCTTTCCCAAACGGTGTTGCATTCACCTCCATCTTCGATGGGCCCAAAGCAAGCGTCTGGATTGCTGTTCACGTAGTCACAGGCGGCTGGACAAATGTAATTTGCATCTCCAGTCCGATCGCACTTCACTTCAGATCCATCCACTGTCACAGTCAAATTGGGATCACCAGAGCTTAAAACTGAGCGTGGCCATTTGCATCTGTACACCTTGGCTGCTGTAGCAAGCCATGCGAACCATGGCAACCACAGCACAAGCTGCATGTCTACGGATGGCCTCTACCAGCTCTTCCGTACAGCTTGAGCCTGAGCACAGTTGCGTTGCATTTTACTTCATCAACAAAACAGCTTTTTATGTTGCGCACTGTAAGGATTCGCATGACAAGACATGACAACCCACCACTGAAAAAATCAATTACACTCAGCCAACGCACAGTGACTCTTGTAGCCCCTTGGAAGTCCCTGGCTAGTTCGCAAAACCTTGCAGTGGACAAAGTGGACTCTCGAGCTCAGTATATATATGGAATCATATTCAAGCAGATAATAGTGTTCCCAGAACCCTCCTTTTTGCATCGTTTAGTCCGTGTCTTCCACCTGTTTGGATTTGTTGAAATCCATAATATACTGTACGGTCCCGGACTGAACTGTCAGACTGCCGCTCAATCCAGAGTGAAGCACCAAACCCACAGCGCGTAACGGAACGGTGTCTATGCTTTTTTCGACGCATCTGTTCCAAGTCCACTCAAATCGTTGAGCCCATGAAAGCGAAGGTCTCCTCAGATTTTCGGATTCAAGGCGATGGGCCGTGATGCCTAAGGGCCAAACACTGTCCAGGATACCGCAGGTCAGAGAAATGCTTAAAGCGTGGATTCTTGCTGTTTAGCTTTGTGAGAAGCAGGTCAACTAACTGGAAGCATTGTATTTTTGTAGGCTCTCAAAATGTTGTGGAACTTGTAAAGACACATTTAAATTAACGATCCATTGAGTTTCAATACAAAACCATCTCACTATTGTTATACTACAAGCTCGGAATGCCAACTTCAGTTGAGACTCTGCAGTAACCTCCACTACTTGACCCTTCTCCAATGCTTCTACCTCATCCCGTAGCTGTTGCCAAAGCCGCACTGCCAGGCTCTGTGTGCTGTCAGGCTTTATGGCTAACAACGCGCAGAGCAGGAAGGGCAAAACCAAAGCTGCACGACTAAGCCTGAGAGCGCGGTCCCTCCATTTCTTTTGAAGCAAGAACAAACAAATGCATCAGATTGTTTACTCTATTTATATCTGGTTGTTCGCTCGTAGGACAACATGTCTGCCCTTCTGGATTGAAGGTTTCTACCACTGAGATGGTAAGGGAAAATCTGTCAGTAACCCGGATTAAACAATCATGGACCTTGATATATAGAGGGACGAGAGTACACGAGGTTGTAATCTCCGAAACATCTTCGTGCCCAAATTCAGCAGTTCAAGCAGCCAGACCCAATGGTTGTCAAAGCTCACAGCGGCTAGAGCCAGGGATAGGAAACAGCAGCATTGAGTCACATTGACCTCCAGGTGTCCAAGTGCTCCTAACAAAATTAATAGCAGGTTAATACACGATGTACTTTTGAATCTAGGGCAGGCAAGGAGTTGGGAAACAACATCAATTCAAGCGTAGTCTACGGATGACGGGAATGGTTGTTCAGCCATTCATTCATGTAGCTGAAATATCATAAAGCCTGGCCTGAGGCTGGACAAAGGGCTGCACCATAGCGCTTGTTGCAGCCATGGCCAAAGTGATTGCCAAAGACACGCACACGCCATCTTCGCTACCCACGGTTGACACTAATGCCACCGCCACAAGTTTCTGAATGATTTCCATATAGAGGTTTCTACACCGAGCATACTTGAGCAATAAGTTCTTTGAACCTGCCAAAACCCGTTCAGACTCAGCAATCTCTTCCAAGATGCAACGTTCCATCAGGGCCTCTGCAAGAACACGACATTTGAGAGCGGTTCGCGTGTCTGACATTGCTTCCACTAGGCTCATGACATCTACGGTCTCTGTATGAATTGATCGGCTGGAGTTGCCTCCAGTTGTCACAGCTTGACCGTGGAAGGAAAGCAAAAGTAATTGAAATCCCAAGCCAGGCTAGGGTTTCCAACTTTGATTTCTTGACAAGGCCTATCAAAGAAAGAATTAATACTTAGAGGCAATCATGTACAACAATATTGAAAAGGAGCATCCAAGCATATTGAAACGTGAGCAGCTGGGCCTGCAACTAGCTTGGCGGTCACTACACCATTTCGTAGTTGGATTTGAACACGCCCGCGCATCAGGACTGCAATGTGGGCGGCTGACGCTGCCACAACACGTCGCGAGAGCACACCCTCCTTCACAAACATCTTCTCCTTGTTCGCTCGGTGCAATCTGCGCGTAACATCGTGTAACTGAGACTGGCTATGTTGTGGGGTCACAGTGAAGAAAGAATGGGTGGGTCAGTCGATACCAATACTTTAGCATTCAAAACAAATCCAGCATTCAAAACAAATCCAACAATCCAGAAAGGTCTGCAAAGCCTCAAACAAGTGACCCTGGATGAGCCTTTGGAGTCAACCAGCCAAACCTCAAGATCCCTTTGATCTGCTGCTTGCGCAATTGTTAATTTGGCTGGTCGCAATGCCAAGTGCTGCTTGGCATACAAGTATGCCAAGCAGCATGGAATCACCACTCCATAGCAAAAGCCAGCGCCAAAGCCAATTGCATCCACATAGTGCCATGAGTCTGGGTCGCACTTCAAGTGTGGCAAGTTCTTCCGAAAAGCAAACCTTGACTTGCTCATGGACTAGAAAGGTGCGGCTGAGCTCGTCCGTATCGTTTGGTTGGATAGTGAAAGACTCCGAACATAGATAAAAATAGGAAAGCGCAGTTGTGGGAAGTCTTAGAGCTTTGATCAGTCAAACGGCTCCTTCAGGCTCGCTCCTTCTCCATCCACCCTCTGGCAGCGCAAAAGCCTTGAGGAGCCAAAAGCTCCGCCCACGTAGAATAGTGTCAGAGCCTGCAAGTCGGTGCCAAACCCGGATCCAGAGAATAATTCGATTAGTATACTGTAATTGCATCTCCAAAAGGCTACTTGGGAGGCCAAGCTTAACTTGAGGCTAGCTTTGCCAAAGCCACAAGAAAGAAAGAACCCTGTCCAGTAGCAAGCTTTATCAAAATCTCCGGGTCCACAGTACTGGAATCGAAAACGATGCCCTCGCACACGGAACAAAATGACTGCAAAGAGATTTGATAGGCCATCTCCGCCCAACAGCTCAGCACCTGCCTGCAAGCCGGAGTTGATGCCAAGTCCGTAGTAGAAGTACTCGATGCCGAGGCAAACCAAAAGCACCAAAAGCGGCGAGAGAGGAGCCAGCAGTGCAGAAGCCATACGCACAGCGACGGCATCAAATCTACACTGCAGGTTCAGAGTACCCTTTAGACTTGCCACGGAGAATTGAGAGGCCTTTCAGGATGCGTCGACCAAGTGTGATTGTTCGTCTTTCCAACACTTCACAAGATGGGTAGGGTGAGGCCGCGTTCATCTTTCCCAGGAGAAGTAAGAGCTAAGTCCGATAGGAATATCAACCCCAGTGATTCTGGTCAACGTCACTTCTATGAACAACAGTATTCAGTATTGATCATTATTGATCAAACTATCAACATCTCCACCCTTGGCCTCCATGTAGGGTAGTTCCCAAAAGCGATCTCTAACTGCGCCCTCCTCTTGCTCAACTCTCGCCAACAGAGCTAATACTGCCCAAAGTTGAATGGTCTGCAGCAGGATCGGCGCTTGCGCCCTGAGTTGCTCCTTCAAGACGCTCTTCACCAATAGGCGTGGGGTTTGCCTGGCCAAATCGGTTCAACCGTGAGGTCATGAGCCATGAAAGGATGAGAACCCACCAAGGCCAAAAACAGGATCTTAGAAGAACTTGCAGCGAACCGTCGACCCAGGCGCCTTGCTTCTGACTCTGAGCTTTGAAAGAGTCCCATCCATACACATGCCAGAGCCAAACAAAGCAATACCACTACCACGGCTGAAGCTGCACCAATTTCCCACAGTTCTGGAAGCATCTCATTGCTCAAACACGGCTCACAAAGCCTGTTGCTTGCATAGTAATGAGCAGCACAATCTGAACATAGGGTGCCTCGATATCCGTCAGCGCACTCCGGAAACAAGGAACCATTGCTGGCATGGGAGGCGTTGCATCTGGTGTTGCTAGGCTTTAAGCAGCGAACCGCAGACTTGTCTTGTACTTTCAAACGGGCAAACCCCAAGAGAGGCTTGGCAAAGACAAGCTCTTCACCAACCTTGGGGCAGTACAAGTGATAGTCGTGGCACGGTAAACACTTGCCACCATCCAGTGCCTGGCCCATTGGACATCCGCAAACTGGAGCACCTTGCTCGTTGAGCAATTCTCCATATGTGCAGTGACACATGGTAGAGCCTTCCTCTGAGTTGCTTGCTTTGGGGCATGGTTGACAAATGCCGTCGTATCCATTCTTGAAGGTGTTTTGCGGACACCTAGTGCACTGCGTTCCATGCCCCTCCCACCCAGGCAGGCACGCACAAAGCTCCTGGGGTAGAAATACCGAGGGGGTAACTTGAAGTGATTTGGATGTGATGGCATAACAAGCATAGCCACGGGCTGTGCTCACTGATGATCTCTCATCTGTTCTCTGAAGCAGCCCCCTGGCCAAGAGGTCCAAGGGTTCCTGGGCGATTGCATGATCCACCATCCACACTCCAGGCAACAGCATTTCTCACCTAGTAACGTAAGTCTTGGTGCTTGATTGCTGGCTGCACACATACTTAGCACGCATCAGGATCACAAATGGTATCATCAAACTATTGATGATCAAAACTACCTCATCATGTTAAGACTGCAAACTTGCCAGGTGCAATGACATGCGATATCTATCATTCGTGTGAAGACAACACTGTGGCTTCGCATCTGCGTCAGTTAGTTGTTGGTCTGTTGTTGCAGGTCGCCAACTCCTTGCTGAAGATATACCAGGGCCAGGCTCTCTCGCACGGCCTTGGAATGCTTTTCTGGATGGCTGCCAGCAGTCCTTTTAGGCGTGAGGCTCACGGTGTGAGGGGCTTTGAGTGGTCCTTTGAGGGTTTTATTGTTAGTGTCCCGGAGGGTGATGGGCTTTTTGACTCAGCTTGACTTTGTTCGTCATGTCTGTATGTTCAAGTTGTGTCCTTTAGGCACCTGCAGCACCTGACCTGACCTATATGTCGACAATGTGGTCAGATGTTGTGTGTGCTTGTAAGAAAAAGCAATGAAATTACCAAACAAGCAAGTTCTGGCCATGTACCAGCACCTGTTTGGTCCACCGGCACTGTTGACTCTCGCATGAAATGAGGAGAGTTGACCAACAGAATGTCAAAGGCCGTCTTTTGGACAAGCGATTCACATCTATATGACTATATATTATATATACTGTATATCCTCTACCGTTGACAGGCTCCCCCAAACCAACACCCACTTTTGCCTACAGACAAGTGTCTGTGTGGTCTTTGATGCTTACATTCTCCAAGTCCAGAAAGGTCCCAGCAGTCACGGCTTGATGGAGAACACCATCTCCGAAGCTCAAAGGATTTCCCGCCAAGATCAGCGCGAAAACATTGCTTGGAATGGCTTCGATGAAATCCAGTCTGTTGGCAGCAACATCCAAAACCTGCAAGGACCTGGCTGGGCTACGGACATCTTCTTGAGTTTCGTCAACCGAACTGGTTGTGTCCAAGGCTTGATTCACATTTACCCAAGCGCGCCTGGCAAGAGGGCTTTTCCATGTTTCATGGAAGCGATGACCCACCCATACCTGTTCCAAAATCAAACTGGGTATTGAACCGGCAAGGCCGCAATCCTCAGCTTTGATGCGCGCCAAAGCCCCACAGCCACCTAAAGGAGCCAACAAGTCATTCACGTTACCATTGAGCGGACATCTGCTCAAATCGAGGATGCTCAACTTTGGCAAGACAGCCTTTGCCACGAAGTCTTTGTCGGAAGCTGAATAAAAGTGCCTTCGAAGATCTTCTAAGTCATCCCCTGCCGGGAGGAATGATATCTGGCTGTCAGCCAAGTTCAATACCCTGAGCTCTGGAGCACGGCCTCGCCATGACACTGTCATTCTTCCCGAGACTTTGGTCGCTGACAGGTCCGCTTCTTGAAGTCTGGGCAAACTGATGAGGGTCGACAAATCCCCGCTGACAGTAGTGTTTCTCAGGGACAGCTGTTGCAACTCCACGAGCTGATTCAGACTTGAAAGGTTGCCTGTCACCTTTGTGCTTTTCAGGTCGAGCTTACTCAAGCCTCTAAGGCCCTCGAGACTTGACAGGTTACCTGTCACTGCGGTGTTTGTTAAGTAAAGCAGCTGCAAGAAGTAAAGGTGCTGCACTTCTGACAGGTCTCCTGCAACCTTGGTGTTTTCCAGGTCAAGTAATTCCAACATTGTAAGCGGTTTGAGGTCTGCCAAATCCCCTGTGACCGCTGTGTTTCGGAGGTGAACCTGGAACAAGCCCGCGAGCTTCTCTAGACCTGACAGGTGGAATGTAACCTTGGAATTCGTGAGGTCCAACAACATCAATGGCACGTCCTCAAGGCTTGAAGGGCCACCTCTGACTTGTGTATTTGCAAGGTTGAGATGCCACAGCTGTGTGAGCTTCTTCAGGCTTGACAGCTCGCCTGAGGAATTCGTACTTTGAAGGTTAAGCTTTTCAAGTTGCTTAAGCTGCTCCAGAGCCAAAAGGTCGCCATAGACCTTGCTTTTTGCAAGGTAAAGTTCCTGCAACTGTGTGAGCTCCCATAAGCCTGACAGGTCACCAAACACCTTACTCTCCGATAAGTCAACAACCTGCAACTGGTGAAGTTGCTTCAGACTTGACAGGTCACCTGTGACCTTCGTGCCGTGCAAAGAAAGTCCTTGCAATTGTGTGAGCTTCGTCAGATCTGACAGGTCACCATGCACCTCAGTGTGTGATAGGCCAAGCTGCCGCATCTGGTAGAATTGCCTGAGACTTGACAGGTCGCCTGTGATCATCTTGCTTTCCAGGTAAAGTTCCTGCAACTGTATGAGCTCCCATAAACCTGACAGGTCACCAAACACCTTAGTGTCTGATAAGTCAACAACCTGCAACTGGTGGAGGTGCTTCAGACTTGACAGGTCGCCTG